TTAAAAATGGTTGACAACCCTTTATTTTATTTTATTTTATTTATTTATTTATGTGTGGTGCGGAGACTCGAACCCAGTGCCTCACACGAGCCAGGCAAGCGCTCTGCCATTGAGCCACAACCCCAGCCCTCGGGCCCCTTGTAGTGTTCATTTTGACACAGGGTCTTGCTAAATTGTTCAGGGCCTCGCCCAGCTGCTGAAGCTGGCCTCCAGGTTGCAATCCTCCAGCCTCAGCCTCCCGAGCTCTTGGGACGGCAGACGTGTGTCACCACGTCCGGCTTAATGACCCTGTTAGTCGTAACCATACATCACCTTACAACACAGAGTCATGGAAACGCTGCATGATCTCTCTCCTCAGGGCACACGGCAGTATTGATTGGGGCCCTGGGGTCGCAGCTCCGGGGAGTCAGGTGGCTTCTGGCATACCCAAAGGTCAGTGAACTCACAGTGTCCCACCATGAGATCGGACAAAAGGGGTGGCCACTCACGGTGGCTCTTGCGTGCGAGGGATCTATGAGGGAGCCCCTGGGGACTCGGCGATAGCAGCTCCAGTCTAGTGGGGACAGGGTGTGGACCTGAACAGGAGGGGGGCAAATCCCCTGTGGAGACTTCCTGTCCCCACCCATGGGGCTGCACGTGGCCCTCCCCACCTTCTGCCCTGTCCCTCCCACCCATTTCTCCTGGACCTGCCGGGCCCATCCCCCTCTGTCCCCGTGGTGGACCTCTGGACAGCACCCCCCCAGTCTACCCTCCTCCAAAACCTCGGCCAGGGCCTTCTCCCTCAGCACTGGCCGCTGCCCCCAGCACCTCTCCCCATAAACCAAGCTTCCCAATACCCACTTCTGCTCTGGACCCCCTCACAACTGCCCCAGGACACCCAGGCCGGGCAACCACTGACCCCACCCACAGGCCAGTAGGCCACTAGACCCTGGACCCCAACCCCAAGACCATGTGGTCCCCTTCCCTGGGGCCTGGGGACCCTCCATCCCCAGATCCCCCTCCTTATGCTCCACAAAAGATCCTTTTCCTCTTCCCTGTGGTCACTAAAGCCCTGCCCAGGGTCACTAGGGTCGCCCCTAAGCCTTCCAGTCACCCCAGTCACCAGGTCCCTGCAGTCACTAGGACCACCTCCCCAGGGGACCGGCCTCCCCCACCAGGACCTCCCCCAGCCTCTGGCCCCTCAGCAGGACAGAGCCCCTGGGCACTAGGACACCTGGTCCCTATTACTGGGGGCTGTGTTCACCAGGGCAGCGTCACTAGGATGTGCCCCACCTTGTCACTCGTCCCCATCCCCATCAGTTAGGGAAAACCCCACCTCCGTCACTAAGACCCCCACCCTGATCACTAGGGTCCCCAATAGGGCCCCGACCCCTGTCACAAGAATCCCCACATTTCTGGTCACTAGGTCACCCCCACCCAGTCACTGGGACCCTCACCTCTGGTCACTAAGGCCCCATGGTCACTAGGTCACCCCCACACAGTCACTGGGACCCTCCCTCTGGTCACTAGGGTCCCCTGGTCACTAGGTCACCCCCATCCAGTCACCTCTGGCCACTAGGGCCCCCTGGTCACTAGGTCATCCCCAGGCAGTCACTGGGACCCTCACCTCTGGTCACTAGGGTCCCCTGGTCACTAGGCCACCCCCAGGCAGTCACTGGGACCCCCCACCTCTGGTCCCTAGGGTCGCCTGGTCACTAGGTCACCCCCATCCAGTCACCTCTGGCCACTAGGGCCCCCTGGTCACTAGATCACCCCCACACAGTCACTGGGACCCTCACCTCTGGTCACTGAGGTCCCCTGGTCACTAGGTCACCCCCATCCAGTCACCTCTGGCCACTAGGGCCCCCTGGTCACTAGATCACCCCCACGCAGTCACTAGGACCCTCCCCTCTGGTCCCTAGGGCCCCCTGGTCACTAGGTCACCCCCACGCAGTCACTGGGACCCTCCCCTCTGGTCACCAGGGTCCCCTGGTCACTAGGTCACCCCCACGCAGTCATGGGACCCTCCCTCTGGTCCCTAGGGTCCCCTGGTCACTAGGTCACCCCCACGCAGTCACTGGGACCCTCCCCTCTGGTCACCAGGGTCCCCTGGTCACTAGGTCACCCCCACGCAGTCATGGGACCCTCCCTCTGGTCCCTAGGGTCCCCTGGTCACTAGGTCACCCCCACAGTCACTGGGACCCTCCCCTCTGGTCAATAGGATTCCCTGGTCAGTAGGTCACCCCCACAGTCACTGGGACCCCCCCTGGTCCCTAGGGTCCCCTGGTCACTAGGTCACCCTCACGTAGTCATGGGACCCTCCCTCTGGTCCCTATGGTCCCCTGGTCACTAAGGCCGGTTGTCAGGAGGCCCTCCGACCCGGTCACTAGCCCCTGTCCTGCGTCGCTGGGCGGGCGGTGGCACTGCGCGGGGTCCCCAGGAGCCCGGGGTCAGCGGCCCTGCCCTGCGCCCTGCCCTGCGCCCTGCCCTGCGCCCTGCCCTGCGCCCTGCCGGCCCTCACCGCGTTGCTGAGGATCTCCTGGCGGCGCGGGGAGGCGCTGGCCAGCACCACGCGCTTGTGCAGCAGCTTCCCGATCACCGGGCACAGCGCCATGACTCCGCCGGCCCCGGGACCGCGGCCCCGACCCGCCGGCCCCGAGCCACCGCCGCAGAGGAAGCGGCCGCCGGAGCCCCGCCCCGCCCCGCCCCGCCGAAGCCACGCCCCTCCAGCCACGCCCCCGGCAAGAGCGCCTGACTTCCGCCTCCGCCAGGGACGAAGCCACACCCCCTCGACGGCACGCGCTCCCTAAGCCACGCCCATGGCCCGCCTACGTCAGACAGGAAGCCCGGTTCCTACTACGCCCCATCCTCCGCCACCGCGCGCCCTGGCCCCGAGCCTATCAGAGACGTAGCCGCGCCCCTCACGCCACGCCCCCGGCAATAGCGCGCCAGGGCCCTACGTCCGCCGCAGAAGCCACACCCCCTTGGCGGCAAGCGCCCTCTTACTCCACGCCTAGGCCACGCCCCTGCCAGAGAAGAAGCCACGTCCCTACTACGCGTAGTCCTTGGCAACTGCGCGCCCTGGCCCCGCCTCTGTCAGAGACGAAGACGCGCCCCTCCACGCCACGCCCCCGGCAGGAGCGCGCCAGGGTCCTAGGTCCGCCTCAGAAGCCACACCCCACTTGGCGGCCAGTGCCGTCTCTACGCCACGCCTAGACTACGTCCTTGTCAGAGAGGAAGGCACGTCAGGACTCCGCCTCCTTCTTAGCAACAGCGTGCCCTGGCCCCGCCCCTGTCAGAGGCGAAGCCACGCCCCTGCTACCCCTCGCCCCCCGCCCCCCCGCAAACGCGCGCTCTGGCCCCGCCCCTGCTAGACCAGAAGCCGCGCCCCGCCCACTTGTCGCTCTTGACAACAGACCACCCAGGCCCCGCCCTGTCAGGGACGAGGCCACGGCCCTGCTACTCCTCTCCCCGGCAACCGCGCGCTCTGGCCCCGCCCCTACTAGACCAGAAGCCGCGCCCCTCCTACTCGTTGCCCTTGACAACAGACCACCCAGGCCCCTCCCTGTCAGGGACGAGGCCACGCCCCCGCCACGCCTCGCTGCTGCAGCCGGCCGCCGGGTTCCCGGCACAGCGGAGCCCCGCCCTGGCCGCGCGCGCAGCTGGCCGGGCCCGGGGCTCCGGAAGCTAGGCGCCCGCTGGGGACAGTGCACGGGGCGTGGACCCCGGGGCCACGCAGGCGCGGTGGGGGCGGGAGCCTAGGGGACCTTTGGGGGCGCCGGGCGGGCGTAGGGTCGGGGATCCTGTAGGGACGGTGTGGAGGTGGGGCGCCGCCAACACCCGTGGACGGCGGCCCTGGGGGGCTCCCGCGGAAGCCGTCGGGGGGGGGGTGGAGCGGCTTCCGTGTCACCATGGGGACCGTGGAGATGGGGGGGCCCCGAGGGGCGGTGGAGGGCTCGGAGATGGGAGGGTCCCCAAGCGCGGGGTGGCCACGTGGTGTTCGGGAGGCCGGCGGGTTCCCTGAGGGCTGTGGGCACGGGGACACCCCCTGTCGGGGTCACCGGGACTGGGAAGACCCTGCGGGCGCAGCGGGGCTCGTTGAGAATGGGCAGCCCCCACAGGCGCGTGGGCAAACGGGGCCCCCTGCGGCCCTGGCGGGGCACGTGGAAATTGGAGGGACCCCTCGCGCGGTGGGCAGCCTAGGAACGTGGGGCACCGTGGAGGGCGGAGGTTGGGGGGCCCTGTGGGCGTGGTGGGCACCGTGGAGACTGGACCCTGCGGGCGCATTGGGAGGCTTGGAGAGGGGGGTTCGTGCTGCAGGCGCAGCGGGGTCCTGGGAATGTGGGGGGCTCTGAGGGCGCGGTGCGGGGGCGCACGGTGGGGAACGCAATGAGCGGTGAGCGAGGCGCAGAGGGGCGCACCGCACCAGGATCCGGTGGGGTCCCGCTGACCGCCCTGGGGAGCATAGGTGTGGAGGGTGCCTGCGCGCGCTGGGGGGCTGGAACGTGGGCGTTGGTAGTACCCCGCGCGGGCGCGGTGGGTGAGTGCAAGGTGGCCCCAGTGGCACGCGTGGAGAGACCCGCGGGCGTCACGGAGCGCAACGGGCAGCCTTCAAATGGAGCTTTTGAGGGGACGGTGGGGCCATGGGTAGGGTTCGGAGGAACGCTGGGGACGGGTGGGTGGAGATGGGGGTCCGCATGGGCGCGGGGGATTAGGGTTAGGGTTAGGGAGGCAGGTGTGGGGATGAAGGTCCCTGCGGGGCGCGTGGGGACCTCCGACCAGCCTGGGCACAGTACCCGCTAGCGGCCGGCAGGTGGCGCCGGAGGAGAGCGAATGTCAATCATGCTCGGCGGAGGCGGGGCCTGCGCAGTGCAGGCCGCGGGTGGCGGGAAGGATTTCCAACCCGAATTAATGAAGCGCAGCGAACCCAGGAGTAGATCTAGCAAAATGCGCAAAACCGTACGAGACTGCAAACCCCTGAGAGAAGCCAGAAAGGAGCCGAATATATAAAGAGGGAAAAAAAAAAAACAACCATGGTGTTTAATATTCAACATGTAAAAAGATATACAGCTGGAACATAATTGTGGCTTTAGGGTGGACGTATCTCGGGGGAGGCCACCAGAGCAGTGCACCCTCCTGGCTTTGAGGGAGGAGACCCACCTGAGTTCCCGTCCAGTCGTCCTTCCTGTGGCTCTGTTTCCTTGAGCCAGCCAGTCCTGAAGTCCACCTTCCTGAAAACCCACCTGGAGGGACCCTGAGTCGTGCTGTGGGCTCACCGTGCGTATTCACGGGGTCCCGAGCGGTGCCTCCATCCAGGCACGCACATGTGCACTCTGTCATCAGGACACACAGGACAGCTACCCTTCCATCCTCTCAACTACAGGTCATTTGTGCAGAGGACATTCCGGACCCCCTGTTGTGGCTGAAATGCACAAGACAGTCCTGCCGTCCAGTGGAAGGGGATTCTGTCCTTTCCAGCCCCCTGAAGGGAACAATAGGTGGGGGACAGACAGGTGGGTCCCAGCAGCCAGGGAGGGGAGACTGGGGATGAGGGTCAGCGCATCTGCTTTTGCTAAGGCTTCGGGAGGATTCCTGTTGTGGGGCACGGGGTGGGAATCTTAGTGACCGCGGGGCCACGGGCGGGCACTCTGGGAGGTCAGATCTGCCTGAGGGTCAGGGCGGGGGGACCTGAAGCCACGTGCCCCACCTCATGAAGTGCCCTCACCACGGTGTCCACAGCCTCCCAGAGCAGATCCTGGAGGTGCCCTCTTGGCCGTCCCCTGCTGCTGACCTGGGGCTGGGGCATCCCGGCCACTCCAAGTGCCCGACCCCCGAGCCCAGGGGTGCGGAGGAGGAGGAGAGCCCGGTGGCTTGGATCTTTGTCCTCGTCCCCGGGAGAGAAATCTTCCCATTTCTCCAGAGAAAATCCAAAATGGCGGAGGGTCTTGGCGGCCTCCGGGACACACTGGTCCATGGACTTTAGATCAGAACCAAAGTCCAGCCCAGGACTCCCCGGGGGGCGCTGGGGTTGGCTTCTGCACCAGCCTAGCGTCACCACTCTTGGGATCTGGGACGGCGGACATGATGTCCCTTTGGGTCTCTTGGGCACCTCTGCTTCCTTTGAAAGATGGCCCCGTGCCTGTCCCTGGGGGTGACCCCGCTGACCCACGGGCAAAGCTCACCGATGGGGACTTCCCTGGGGTCCTGACGTCCTGCCCTGAAGGACAAGCTAAAGACCCTCGTTCAACCGGTGGCCCTCCTCGGTGTCCCCTGTCCTCATTCCTGCCCGAGAGGCGGTCCTGGTCCATCTTGGATGCACGGGAGAGCAATGAAAATTCCACTGTCCACAAGTGACAGAGGGACGGGGACCGAGTCTCTGCAGCTGTGGACACCCCTCTATCCTTTGGGGTGTCCGAGCCTCAGGCCCGGGGACCGAGGGGACGAGATTCCAGAAAACACACACAGCGCGTCAACAGGATTAAAATGCTCAACGCAAAGCCACGTCGACCCTCGAACTCGGGTCGTGGGACACACACGTCACAGAGCATGGCTCAGGTGGCAGGAGCCACAGACTCCAGAGCCTAAGTCACATCGGGGTCCTGGACGTGGCTCCTAGGCAGGGCAAAGGGGGGTAGGCAGCCCAGAGCATCCGGAGAAAAGCTGGCTCTGCCCTGTCCCTCTGTCCACGGGGGCTGCAGGTCTGGTGTGCTCCAGGGGACAGACGCAAGCTGCAGAGATTTGCTGATGTCACCAGGTCTCGAAATCTCCGCAGGACGCAGGACCTGAGGCTCCTGGGCTCGGCTCTGAGCTGGTGGTTTGAGGTTTTTCGTAGATTTTTTTTTTCTTTGCCTCCGAAACGCCCACAGCCCGCGCAGGGACCATTTTGCTGGCTCAGGGTTTCCACCCTCGACGTGTCTGACTCAGTGTCACTTTCTAGGTTCTGCTCGGGGACAGCCAGGAAAAGCCGCCGTGGGCCCACGCTCTGGGACCCACGGGATCATCCTCGGGAGGAGCGGGAGGTGCGGGGTCTGTCACAGGATGGAGATGGTGGCCTGTCAGAGATGTGGCTTTGGGAACCTTCAGTGTCCAAGGGGCTGATGTGTCCCTGGGGGGCAGAGGCTGGACCAGGGTCCCCGGCTGAGCCCCCTCCAGGGCTCCAGGGGGCTCCTCCTGCCTGTCCAGCTCCTGGGCTCCAGGTGGCCCTGGGCGGGTGGCCCCCCACTGCAGTCTCTGCCTCCGTCTCCACGTGGTCCTCCTCTGGGTCTGTGTCCCCTCCTCTGTCCCTTAGGAGGACACGGCCATGGCATGAGGACCCCCTGACCCAGGAGGAGCCCATCTCAGGACCCTGCACTGACCACCTCTGCAGAGACCCTGTTCCCACACCAGGTCCCCGCAGACCTGAATGGAGGAGGACGCTATTCACTGGTGCCTGGTCCCCAAATGGCATGCGGGGTCCAGCCAGGTGTCCGCCTGTGGCTGAGAAGCCTCCAGCCCTGGAGGCACCTCCCGGTGACAATGTGCAGGATCCAAGTCCCCGGGCAAGCTGCTCCGTGAAGCCACCGTGGTCTCCGCTGCTGGGTCCTGACCGCTCTGGGTTTCGCCGCCGGTGACTTCGACCACAGGGTCCCTGAGCAGGAAGACGCAGCGGGTCAGGGCTCCATGGCACAGCGGCCTGGGGACCCCTGGTGGCTCCCCCCCCCGTAGGGAGCAGGTGGTCTCTGCACACCTCCCGGGTGGCCGTGGGGGGTGCGTGTCCCCACTGGACCTCCCGCAAAGGTCACTCGCAGGCTCAGAAGACGCTCTCCTGCCTCTTGAGGCCGGGCCGGCCGGTGCCCTCGAGCGCGTCCCCGGGGCCGGCGGACATGGAGCGCGCCGAGAGTGTCCTGGCGGAGAAGAGGCTGTCCCTGCGCGTCGTGTCCAGGCTGTCGCTGGGCAGGCGGCCGTAGCCCAGGTAGTGGCGCAGGCGCAGCTGGAACTCGCGGGAGGCGAAGTAGTAGACGAAGGGGTCCAGGCAGTTGTTGAGGCAGCTGAGGCAGAGGGTCAGCTTGTACACGTGGTAGTAGCTGCGGCCGAAGAAGAGCCGGCTGACCATGTGGACCAGCAGCACGAAGTTGTTGGGCGCGAAGCAGGTGACGAAGGCCAGCAGCACCACGGCGGCCAGGCACACGGCGCGGCGCCGCTGGCCCTGGTCGTGGCCGCCGTCGGCCGAGCGCAGCAGCTTGGTGATGGTGGCCGTGTAGCAGGCCACGGTGACCACGAAGGGGATGAGGAAGAGGAGCACGAAGATGGTGAAGAGGAACAGGGCCCACATGGCCACGCTGGGCAACATGGTCCACTTGAGCACGTCGAAGCACGTGACGATGCGCAGCGCGTCCACCTCGTAGGTGAGGTCCGTGCGCGCCAGCGGGAAGAGCGCGGCCAGCAGCAGCGCCCAGGTGCCCGCGCAGGCGGCCAGCGCGTAGCGGCGGCGGCGCCAGCGCGCGGAGCTGAGCGGGTGGACGACGCCCAGGAAGCGCTCGACGCTGATGCAGGTCATGGTCAGGATGCTGCAGTACATGTTGGCGTAGAAGGCCACGGTGACCACGTTGCAGAGGACCTCGCCGAACACCCAGTGGTGGCCGTTGCAGTGGTAGTAGATCTGGAAGGGCAGCACGCTGGCCAGCATCAGGTCCGTGACGCTCAGGTTGATCATGAAGATGACCGACGGCGACTTGGGCCCGATGTGGCGGCACAGCACCCACAGCGAGAAGAGGTTGCCCGGGATGCTGACCAGCACCACCAGCGAGTAGACCACGGGCAGCGCCACGGCGATCGCCGGGTTCTGCAGCATCTGCAGCGTCGCGTTGTCCGGGCCGCTCACGTTCATGTCCACCGGCCCCATCACCGCCGCCGCGGACGCGCGCTCATCCTCGCGGGCCTGCAAGGGGAGGGACGCAGAAAGGGTCAGGGCGTGCGCCACAGGGGCCCAGGGACAGGGGAGCCCCGTCCCCAGGGAGCCACCTCGGTGCCCTTCAGCCGGTGAATGGGTAAAGAAAATGTGGTACGCGACCGCCGTGGAATATTACTCAGCCACGAAGAGGAATGAAATGATGGCGTTCGCTGGTAAACGGATGGAGTTGGGAGACACCAGGCCCAGCGAGCTAAGCAAGTCCCCAAAAAGACCGAGGACAAACGTTCTCCCTGATAGGCGGATGCTAACTCACAGTAAGAGGGTGACTAGGGGACAAATAGAGGTATGGTGGACTAGGCAGAGGGGACTCAAGGGAGGGGAGGGGGAGGGGTAGGAAGGACAGGAGAATGAATGGGACAGGGTGACCCCGGGTGCATATATGACCACAGGACCTGGGTGATTCTACACCAGTTCAAACCAGAAGGAGGAGAAGTGACAATCCATTTACGGAGGACGTGTCCCAGTATGTTCTACTGTCACGGAGAACATGCCGGAAGGGGCCCTGCCTGCTCCCCAGGGACAAGGGACCTGGCGCCCCACCTGCCCCTTGGCACTCAGGCCTCTGAGCACCCGGAAGCTCCTTTGCTCCTTCTCTGTGTCTTTCTCCCTGGAAGTTGAGGGAGCGTGTCGTGAGGGACGCTGCGCTGGCTTCCACCTTGGGTCGCCGAGGACGCTGCACATCGCCCAGCGACCTCACTTCCAAGCCCAGGAGAGGTGATCTGGGTCACCTCCAGGGTGGGGAGGGATGTCCCAGAGGCCGGCCTGGCTCTCAGGCTGGTTCCTCATTTGCACAGGGTCAAATCGAGGTCCCCCCCGCCGAATCAGGGTCCCGGGAGACCGGCGGCATTTGCCTGGCTACACGGAGGTGGGGGCTGGTCCAGAGGGGTGGCTCGGCTGCCCCAGGGACTGCCCGTCACCCAGGCACCTGGCTCCACCTGGGAGCTGCCATGGGGGGCCGCTCAGGGGAAGGCAAATTAGGGTCCCTGTGGCCTCTCCCCTGCCCCACCCCGAGGCCCCATGGATTTTAAGTCCCACAGAATCTCGGGGTCTGGGACAGTGGCTCTGAGGTACAGATGTCCTTAGCAAGCACAGGGCCCTGGGTCCCATCCCGAGCCTCAAAACTAAAAAAAAAAAAAAAACCCACTTTTTTTCCTTCTCTAGGGCTGAGAATTGAACTCGGGGCCCCCCCACCCCTGAGCCCCGTCCCCAGCCCTATTGGGCATCTTATTTAGTGACAGGGCCTCCCTGAGCCGCTTAGGGCCTCGCTGTGGCCTCCCGCCTCAGCCTCCCCAGCCGCTGGGTGACAGCGTGGGCCACTGCACCCGGCCTAGATTTTTTATTTGCTAAGGTGCCGAGGCTGGCCTCCACCGTGTGGTCCTCCTGCCTCAGCCTCCTGAGTAGCTGGGATCTCAGGCGCGTGCCCCCGTGTCTGTCCCCAACCCCCTGGTTTGGGGGCATGTGGAGGTTGGAGGAAATGGTGGAGGGACGCTCCAGGATCTGGCACAGATAAGTCTGTGTGCACAGGGACGCTCTCTGTGCACATCCCACCAAGGGGGCTCCCAAAGCCCCTCGGGGGGTCATTTAGGTGACCCAACGCACCCCGTGTGGGTCTCTGGGGCGTTTTAGAAACCCATCAGTGTGTCCCCAACCGGGTCCCCCAAAGTGAAGGGCAGGTGGATACTGTCCAAGCGGCCCCAGAAGAAGGCTTGGGACTTACCGTCCGCGACGCTGCTGCTGAAATGGCGGAGCCGACGGGGGACCGGGCTCGGCTTCCACAGGGCCATCTGCCACCCAGCTTGTGTCTGGTTCCCTTTCTTGACTTTGCAAATGAGTTCCTGTCACCTTTTCCAAATATGCTCACCTCTTTGGGGGGGGCGGGGGGGGGGAAGGGTTATGCAACCCGAATGCGGGGCGTCAGAGTTGGGGAAACCCAGATGTCTGTCTGGGGGGTCTCTGTTTAACCCTGCGGGGAGGTTCCATCGCGGGTGCTGAGCCCCGTGGCCAGTCGGGGTCAGTGTCCACGAGGCGCAGGGACGGCGAGTGGACCCTCCCGGGAGGGTGTTTCTGGGATGACTTAAGTCGAAAATCTGGTGGGGGTGGGCCTCGTCCCATCAGTCGAAGGGCCGAGGAACAAAGTCTGAGGTTTCCCCCTAGACAAAGGAACCCTGTGTAAAGCTGCATCTATCCATCAGCCACTCGTCTAGAAATCTCCCCGGTGGTCATCTAGGTGCACACCTGTCAATCATCTATACAGACACGTGTCTATCTATCACCCGTCTCCACAGGTGTCTGTCCACGGGGGATCAGGTCCTTCCAAGGATCTAAGGCCAAACATTGGCGTCCCCTGGAGAAGACCTCCGCGTCCAGCACCTCTGCAGCCTCAGCCCCTGCTGAGTTTCCTGCCTGTCCAGCTGAGTGACCGGTCCCCCCCGGGGGTTGCTGACCACGCGATCCGACTTGGACTCAAGTGTCCGCCCTTTCTTTTCTTCGCTGATCTGCAAGGGCCACATCTTTGGGGCCGGACAATGCGCACCGCGCGCTCCTGCGTTCAGTGGTGCAGGGACCCGCCCGGGGACGCCAGGGCCTGGAGCCGAACAGGGACGCTCTCTGTGCCCATCCGGCCGAGGGGCCTCCCAAAGCCCCTCTGGGGGTCATTTCAGGGGTCCCGAGGCACACGCCTCCCCTCTGCCTCGGGGGATGGAGGAAAAGGCCTTCGCCCTATTAAGCAGGAAAGTGAAACCAAACAGACCAGCCACCGGGGCGCACGTGGCTCTCGGTTTGCAGAAGGAGCCTGTTAAAATGCACGCAGGGGCCGGGGTCTCCGTGTCCAGCACAGACCCTGCATGGGCTCCCGGGCGGCCCCGGGGCGCCCTCTGCTCCCAGGACCAGCCCCAGGGACCCTCCGGGCCGCCGAGAGCGGGCGTTGGCCCTTTGGCCCTGGGCGCACCCTGCGAGCGAATCTATCAGCAGGAAGCACCTGCGCCCGAGGAGTGGGTGCGGGACAGAGAGTCCAACCCGCGGCCATCTGGGTGCTTCCCGTTCTAAGCTCCCCGCACACCTTGGGGAAAAAGATCTGCACCCGTGTCATCCCAGGGGCTCAGGAGGCTGGGGCAGGAGGTTTGCAAGTTGGAGGCCAGCCTCAGCAACGTGGTGGGGAGCTAAGCCACTCAGGGAGACGCAGTCTGCAACTAAGATACCAAAAAAGGGGCGGTACAGCGACCCCTGGGTCCAGTCCCCAGGTTGGGCTCTGGAAAAATACGGGCGAGGGAGCCGCGCGCTCAGGGCGAGGCGCCTGGGGCTGCTCTCTCCATTTCTGCGCGCAGAGCTGGGGACGCAGGAGAACCCCCCCCCCCCGCAGCTGGACGCCTCTGCCTCGTGCACATTTAAATACCACGCGCCCTTGAACCCAGGCCAGAGCCGTGGGGCGCGCAGGTGATGCAAGAAAGGAGCAAGAGCGCAGGGCATCTGCCGCCCCAGCGCGCCCCGCCTCCACCGCCGTCGGCTGTTCTGGGTGCACCTGGCTCCTGGTGGGCGGCCCCCTGCACCCTCCCCCGAGCACCCCGGGCTCCTCGGTCTGCAGTGCTGGCTCTGCACTGAGCGGTCCCCGGCGGCCGGCCCAGGAAGGCAGCGGTCAGGGCCTGGGTAGGGGCGCGCGCGCGCGCGCGCGGCTCGGCGGGTTGCACGGACCATTAATCAGGAAATCAGCTCTAACGGCCTCCGCTTCCCTGAAACCGAGGCGCCTGCGGTTTGCAGCTGCTCCTGCGGAGGCCCCGACCGAGGGGAGGCAACTCTGCAAAACGAGATTAACGGTTGGCCGCGTCGCCACGGCAGCCAGAGGCCCCCCGGAGCGCGCAGGGCGCAGCTGGTGCAGCCCCAGCCCCTGCCCCCCCCCCCCACGGGGCTCGCTCGGGGCCACTTTGCAAGATCTTGCAAGAGGAGGCCCAGGGTTCGTGGCCTGGCGAGCACCAGGGGGGCCCCCCTGTTCTTATTTGCTTAAGAAAAACAGCTTTACTGGGGCGCAGTCGACCCACCCTACAAGATTTTCACGCCAACCCTGAACCGCGCCACGGTTAACCCTGTTCTTCCTTTGTCCCCCTCAGCCCCCTGACAGCGAGGGATCCAGCTTTCTATCACTCCCCCGAATCCTGCTTTCCAATGGAACCGGTGTGGAATGCCTCTGTTTTCATGGCTGAGTACTATTCCACTCCACAGAGGAACGGCCGTCTTTCCATCCCTCCGCCAGTGGGTGGCCTCGCCCTCTTGGCCGTTCAGAGTGACATCCCCTTATGGCTTAACGGTGACAGCCTCAGACGGAAGGGTTGACCAATACAGCGTCTGGGCTGCAGATCTCACGGAGGCGGTGGTGTGACAAGATTGGCCGGAGGCAGCCGCCGTCAGGACCAGATGCATCCATCTGCACCTGGAGACAGTTGGGCTTCTCCTACAGTCAGTCCCCTGGGCGGGTGCTGGGGCTGCCCCGGGTGCCAGGCTCCCAGAGGACAAGGTCGCTCCCACCCTGGGCGGCAGAGGCTGGACCAGGGTCACTAATTGATAGACCACAGAACAGGTGGCCTGGGTGACACGGGCCTGTGTTCTGCTCTATGACATCATGGATGTCACCTGCTCATGAACCCCGCACACTCACTGCATCTGTCTGAACTGGATCATGTGTGACGCTGTCCGTGAGGCACGGGATGGCACAGATCTACAATCCAGGACGCCAGTCATGCCCGTCACGCACGTCCCCTGTGAGGCTGGACCGTGTGGCATTTTACGGGCAATGAGTGTGCTGTGCATCTTATGCACACGTCTCCTGCAAACTGCACCTGAACTCTGAAGTGTGCGTATGATAGACATATGACTTACCAGCCTGGCTGGCAGGTGACTGTGTGTGACAGAGCCATACCTGACGTCACTACCATTGTATTATAGATTATTATTATAGATTATTGGGAGGATGTGATTGTTCCCACATTATTGCATGCATACCTGTGGGGATTATTACATGCATAACAATGGGGATCATTGCATGCATACCTGTGGGGATCATTGCATGCATACCTGTGGGGATTATTGCATGCATACCTATGGGGATTATTGCATGCATACCCATGGGGATTATTACATGCATACCTATGTGGATTATTTTATGCATACCCATGGGGATTATTGCATGCATACACATGGGAATTACTACATGCATACCTATGGGGATTATTGCATGTATACCTATGGGATTATTGCATGCATACCTATAGGGATTATTGCATGCATACCCATGGGGATTATTACATGCATACATATGGGGATTATTACATGCATACCCATGGGAATTATTGCATGCATACATATGGGGATTATCACATGCATACCTATGGAAATTATTGCATGCATATCTATGGGGATTATTACATGCATACCTATGGGGATTATTGCATGCATACATATGGGGATTATTACACGCATACCTATGGGAGTTATTGCATGCATACCCATGGGGATTCTTACATGCATACCCGTGGGGATCATTACATGCACACCTATGGGGACCATCACATGCATACCCGTGGGGATCATCACATGCTTACCCGTGGGGATCATGCATACCCATGGAGATCCTTACATGCACAGTAGTGGACATGGTTTCTCGCCTCTCACTGAGTAGTGTAGTGGTCACTGACCCTGGCAGAAAGGCAGGAGGTGATGGACTTGCTGCAGGGGCCCCGAGAGGCCACTTCGTGCCCACGGAGGTGGCTGAGATCAGAGGACACACAGGGACCCGGGGAAGGGAACCCTCGTGTGCTGGCGGGAAGGCGAACGTGCGTCCACTGTGGACCTGGCTGGCCGTTCCCCCAACCCTGACAGGTCACCCTGAAACGGCAGAGTTCACAGTGACAGACGGGCCATCCAGCATCCCTCCTGCCCCGCCCCCCCCAGAACCGATGACCGACGTCAGCGCCGAGCTGTGCCTGGATGTCCACAGCGGCGGTGTCCACCGGGGTGCCCAGGCACACAGATGTGTCTGTCACACTGTGGAATATTACTCAGCCAGGAAGAGGAGCCCAGGAAGAGGAACGGAGCTGTCCCCTGCTAGCACTTGGATGGGCCTCAAGGATGCGCGGCTCAGCAAGACACCAGACACCCAGGGACACACGTGATTTACCCAGAGCAGGCCAGCACACGGGGACAGGAAGGTCATTGGTGGTTCCTGGGACCTGAGGCAGAGACCCTGTCTAATGGGGACTGGGGTCTCCTTTGGGGTGATGAGAATGTTCTGGGGGACGTGTGTCCCCTTTGGATTCCCCAAAATCCCACAGACGGGGCCACCTCTGGACCCCGGGGCCAGCACATTTTCAGCTCCATCGACGCCGACTGTTTTGAATCACGGAAACCAGAAGGGGCCTCCCGTCGTCCCCAAAACAGAAAACCGAAAGCAAAACACAGGTGTCCCCGGGTCCCCGTGCCCAAGGCGCTGGTGACCGGGCTCCTCGGGACAGGACGGGATCCTTCCTGTCCCCTGGGCCTCCCGCCCACAGCCACCGGGGTCCCCTGACTTACGAGGGCCGCAGGACAGTGGGATCCCGGGGGGCACTGGCCTCGGGGGCTTCTCTGAATGTCCCCTGACCCTCCTGCCTGGCCCAGGGGAGGCAGCCGGTTTGCATGAGCTCGGAGGTCAGCGCCTGTCCCCTGACGGGTCCCCGGGTCTGACGGCCGGCCACCTGTGGCCCTGGGTTTGGCTGAAGGGCAGGGACCTTGCGAAACCCGGGAGGGTTCCTCTTTCTCAGGGCCCGGGGTGGAGCCGCTCCCGAGGGGACTTTCACATATTAAAAAAAAAAAAAATGCATTTTGAACACGTTTAAAATAAAAGAGTGTCCCCTCCCTCCGTGTACTCAGCATGTGGCCGCGGGAGGTTCGCTGGGGAACCTGGGTGACCGTGGGTTACAGCGAGGCTCCCCTGGGATCGATTTTATAGGGGGCTCCTTTTAAACTCGGAGAAGGGGGCTCCCTAGGGTCTCCGTGTGGGTGTCGGGTGTCTGCAGCCCAGAAAAGTGTCCCCTGCAGACCCAGGGGGGAGGGACAGGCCTGTGGGATGGAGTCCGAGTGCACAGGGAGCTGGGTGTCTCCAAGGCCCCTCGGCTCAGCCCTGGCCCCAGGACCTTGGAATGTGCCTGTGTGGGTGGAGAGGGGTCTTGGCAGAGGGGATGGGGGTGCAGTGAGGTCCCCAGGGTGGCCCTGGCCCCAGGACCTTGGGACGTGCCTGTGTGTGTGGAGATGGGTCTTTGCAGAGGGGATGGAGGGGCTGCAAGGTCCCAGGGTGGCCCTGGCCCAGCAGGACAGGGGTCCTCGTAGAGGAGGAGATGAGGTCACAGACACACACAGAGGGACGCCCCGGGAGGACCCAGGGAGAAGACGGCGGCAGCCAGCCCAGGGGAGAGGGTCAGGAGGAGCCACTTCTGCCCACACCTGGACCTCGGACCTCCATCCTCCAGGGCAGGGGCGATAGACCTCTGCTGATCTAACCACCCAGGCTGGGGGGCTCTATGGCTAGCCTCCTGTCCTCCTTACCAAGAAGCAGGATGCGGGGTACAGGGCGCGGGAGGCCGGCCACAGGGTTTTAAAGAGTCACATTTGCTGGAAAGTGTCCCAGACGCTGCAGGACTCTCTGCCAGATAAAGCTTCCACGTGGCCAGGTGTCCCCACTCCTGGGCGGGACACCCAACGGGGCCCAGGGAACCCCCCAATATGCAATCCACCCCATGTCCATCAGGGGACAAGCAGGTGCAGGAAAAGTCGGGCAAGTCCACGGACTGGAGAGCGGTCAGCCTTGGACTCAGACCCCGACGTGTGGGCCGACCTCGGGGACCCGGGCGTTAGCCAGGGGACAGGCCACAGGGAGAGGCCAACAGCCCCTGTCCCTCACGCCGCCTCTGCCAAGGCCCGTCTCCGACAGGCAGAGAGGACAGTGGCCGGGACCTGGGGGTCTGCAGCCACATGCTCAGAGGAGCGTCCAGGGCTGCGAAGTGCCAGGCGTCCCCAAAGCAGCGAGCTACAGACGTCCACAGTGACAGGGTGCGTCCAGCCGGCTCCCAGGTGTCCAGCTGCTGCGGACCACCCGGCGGTGCTGGCCACAACGTATCCGGCTCCTGCAGACCAGGGGTGCTGGTTACTAGGTACCCAGTCCTTGCAAAGGACCCAGGTGCTGGTTACTAGGTACCCAGTCCTTGCAAACGACCCAGGTGCTGGTTACTAGGTACCCAGTCCTTGCAAACGACCCAGGTGCTGGTTACTAGGTACCCAGTCCTTGCAAATGACCCAGGTGCTGGTTACTAGGTACCCAGTCCTGGCAAACCCCGGGGGTGCTGGTGACAAGGTATCCAGCTCCTGCAGGCCACCCCGGGTCGGGGGACCCCAGAGGACGTTCTCAAGGTCAGAAGCATCCGTCTGAAGGGTCAGGTGTGTGAATTGGCCAGATTCAAGCGCCGCGATGCCCGGGGCATGCGACACCGCGATGCAGTGGCCTGGGACACCGCGATGCCCGGGGCCTGTGACGTCGTAATGGACACGTGCCTAAGAGCGTCCAGCCGTCCACAGGAGCCCACCAAGGAGCCCTGAAAGCCGACCCCCGCCTTGGGTCTTCGGCAGAGGCTCCAGACTCGGGAAGGAGACGACAGTTCAAGGTGACACCGTGCCTTGGTTTGGGGGATGCTGCCGGTGCGTGGGAGGCCGCAGGCCACTGGACCGCGATTTCATTTCCTTTGCGTATATGCCCTGGAGTGGTGGAATATTAGCCAGCCACCAACAAGAAGAATACTACTCAGCCAGGAACAAGGACAGGTGCTGAATAAATGCAACTGGAGGGTGTTCTATTGGGCGAAACAAGACAGACCCCGAGAGACAGGCACTGGGTGTTCTCTTTCCCGGATGGAAGCTCAAATTAAGGCCACCGGCCAGCGGGACAGTGACTGCTAGGGGCTGGGAGAGACACAGGAAGGCCACTTTTGATGCCTGCTGTATGCATGGAACTATGACACTTGTATACAATTGAAGCACGGGTTTAAAAAACCCCTAACCCTCAGCGTGTCCTCTCAGCAGTGGCCACACACAGTGGCCCGGTTTGCAGGGACCAAGGGGCTTCCTGGGACTTGGGATTTCAGTGTCCCCAGCTGTGGGGACAATGTGGGTCACCCCTTTTGGGGGCCAGACCTCAGGGCGCCCAGGCAGCACAGCAGGCCTCCTGGTCCGCGGGGAGGCCACCTCTGGGCCACCACAGGGTGGTTTCCCAGGATGCTCTGCAGCCTGGGGCCGCCTGGATCTCACTTCCGCCCTGGGACCTGGGGAATTTCGACCCTGACCTTTACACGGTGCCCCGGGGTCTGCTGTCCCACGTGCGGGGGGGGGGGGGGGGGGGGGGACATCTCGGTCTCACGGGGGCCCTCCGGAGAGTCCCAGGCCCCACCCTGGGCTGGGAGGATAAATGTGGTTTCTTCCCTTTTTTCCTCTCTGTCTGTCTCTGAAAGTCTCACGGTTTTCCCACATTTTCAGCCACTTTCTGCAGAGAATTTAGATCTTTTCAATTTTTCTCTCCTGGACGCAGGCAGGATTCCCTCCCGTCCGTCAAAGGAACCGCTTCGCGGCTTCCCCTGGGCCCATCGGAGTGGCCAGCATCCCGACTCTTGGACTTGGGGGCTATTTTAAAAATAAAACAAGTCACGGGACCGACAGAGACAGTCCCTAGGGTCCCGGGTGGGGCGGTTCCTGATTGACGGCTGGAGGGTAGCCCATACTGGGTGGAAACACTGCCCAAAGGCACGATCCCCGTTCGGGCAGCAGACGGTGGGCCAGGGGGAGATTTTTTTCACGCTCCTCACAACGACATGCAATTTAGCGCTCGCCCCTTGTTTCTGGAACTTTCCGTGGAGTGATTTTGGTCCACAGTGAATCGTGGGTAGGGACCCCGTGTGGGTGTCCATCACTGGGACGGGGAGCCGGTTCCTCTTTTGGTCCCCCTCTGGGTCCCTGGCTACTTCCCCTGGGGGCCCCCCGATGGAGGGTTTCAGGTCTGCTGTCCCGTGCGAACGGCGGGTCCCCAGTTGGTAGGCTCCTCGGAGGGACCGTCCCTGCCCCAGCTGGCCCACAAGGACGCGGTCACCATGAGCTGGGAACCCCGGTGCCCGGTCATCTGCCATGCGCTGCGTGAGAGTGCTGCTGATTTTTTAAATGACAATTGTGAGCTGTCACTGTTCAGAGGGACGGGGACACTCTGGCCTCTGTGGGGTCTTGTCCCCGTGACCCCCTAGAACTAGGCCACCGAGCAGCCCGCATTTCACGGATGTCACTTAGACCCCCGTCCACCATCGGCCGTCGCTCAGCCCGTCCAACCCAGGGGCAGCGCGAACAGGGCTCCTCCGTGTGGACAGGTCCCCGGCGGTTTCACTTCCTGTCCCTGCACGGCCGACACCCTGAGATCGCTGGGGTTGGGAGGGACCCAGGGTCAGAGGTGACCAGAGACATCCACGTGCTGTTCACCCCGGGGGGGGGGGGAGAAGTTCAGATGAGTGGACAGACGGGCGGACAGGAGACGGAGATGAGCGGGGGACGGGCGGGGGGATGGATGGTGGATCCTTGACGGACGATAGCGGATAGGTAGGTAGGTGGACGCTGGGTGGACAGAGGGACGGATAGAAGAGAGGGGGTGGTGGGTCACACACCTGAGAGGGAGGGAGGCCAACAAGATGGCGGTGGGTGGGTGGACAGGTGGGCAATGGATGGACGGATGGGTGTGTGGACAGATGGGTGGACGGATGGGTGGATTGGTGGGTGGACAGATGGATGGACAGATGGGTGGATGGACAAATGGATGGATGGGTGGATGGATGGATGGACAGATGGAGGGAAGGATGGGTGGATGGATGGGTGGACGGATGGATGGACGGATGATGGATGGATGGGTGGATGGATGGATGGACAGATAGGTGGGCGGATGGATGGACAGATAGGTGGACGGATGCATGGACAGATAGGTGGACGGATGCATGGACAGATAGGAGGGCGGATGGATGGACAGATAGGTGGACGGATGCATGGACAGATAGGTGGACGGATGCATGGACAGATAGGTGGACGGATGCATGGACAGATAGGAGGGCGGATGCATGGACAGATAGGTGGACGGATGCATGGACAGATAGGTGGACGGATGCATGGACAGATAGGAGGGCGGATGCATGGACAGATAGGTGGACGGATGCATGGACAGATAGGTGGACGGATGCATGGACAGATAGGTGGACGGATGGATGGACAGATAGGTGGACGGATGCATGGACAGATAGGTGGACGGATGCATGGACAGATAGGTGGACGGATGCATGGACAGATAGGAGGGTGGATGGATGGACAGATAGGTGGATGGATGGACAGATAGGTGGACGGATGGATGGACAGATGGGTGGGTGGATGGGTGGATGGACGGATAGAAGGTGGGTGGTCTGAGGACCCATCTGTCCCCTGGTGCTTCAGCAGAGCCCCCGTGGGCTCAAGGTCCCCAGGTTCCCACCCCAAGGCTACTTGAGACCTGTCCCCATGTCACACCCCACCTGGGAGCCCAGCCAGAAGGTTCTAGAAGGACGGCGGCCAGGGCCAGAGGTCCAGGATGGGGTGGGGGACCTGTCCCAGGGGCTCCACGTCCCCTTAAGTCACCGGGACTCGCCTGCCTGGATGCAGCCTTCAACCCGTCCCCGTCCCTGGGGACCCCCCACGCCCCCAGGAGGACACAGCGCCTCACACGCACCTGGGTCGAGGGACGAGCTTTGGAGTGTCACCACGGACACCGCGGAGCTGCCGGGACCCGCCTCAGGGGATCTCGGCTGAGTCCCGGGCCCGAGGGCATCCCAGGAAGTGCCTGCGTCCGCCCAGCTGGACCGGGGGTCCGTGCTGGCCCCTCCACCTGCGACGCCTGGTTTTTTTTTTTTTGCACAGTTCTCTGTGTATCTGAGGCTCGGTGGCCGGTCCCTGGGCTGGAGGTGAGAAAGTGACATGTTTCGGGTCTGACTGAAGAGGAGATTGAGGTCACAGGGCCGCTGTGGTCAGCAGCCGAGCCGGTCCCTCAGCGCAGCCCCGTGGTCCTTTCACGGAGCCCAAGCAGAGGCCACGCGGGCTCAGGGGGGATCCAAGCTGGGGGTGACACCCTGGAATCCGCACAGGGGACCCGGAGGTCCTGGTCCATATCACAGGGGGTCCCCCCAGGGCGACGAGTAGCCCCGAGTCCCTCACAGCTCAGGGCCGTGGCGCAGGACAAGTGGTTAGGGGGTGCCGTTTAGCCAGGGGGTCAGGGAGAGGTTCTCAACCCGGGTGACCTTTTTATTTTCCCTCTCAGAGGTCACTAGGAAATGTCTAGAATCAGTTCTCATGAACTTAGCCGGGAGGGGCTGCTCCTGGCTCCTGGTGTGTGGGGCCCAGAGAGGCTGCTCCACCTCCTGCAGCGCACAGCACAGCCCACCCCAGACCACCCCCAGCCCCAGAGGCCCCCAGTGCCCAGGAGACCTGCAGGACCGAGTCTCTGTCCATCATCCGTCCACCCAGCTGTCATCTGTCTGTCTGTCATCTATCTCTCTGCCTATCTATCTATTATCTACCAATCCTGTCTGCCTATCTATTTATCTATTATCTACTAATCCTGTCTGTCCATCTATGTATCTATGTATCTATCATCTATCTATCTCTCTGTCATCCACCAGTTCTGTCTATCATCTATCTATCATCTGTCATCTATCCATCCTGTCTACCTATCTATCCACCTGTCTGTCTATCTATCTGCCATCTGCCAGTTCTGTCTGTCCATCTATCTCTCTGTCATCGACCCATCCTGTCTGTCCAGGTGGCTCTCACACTCTGGGTGGGGCTGCTCCTGGCTCCTGGTGTGTGGGGCCCAGAGAGGCTGCTCCACCTCCTGCAGCGCACAGCACAGCCCACCCCAGAGAGCCCCAGCCCCAGAGGCCCCCGGTGCCCAGGAGACCTGTGGGCAGGACTTGTCCATCACACAGCTGTTACTCACGTACCCATCACTTACATTCACCATCTACTGATTTCCTGGACCTATTGATTATCGGTCACCTATTTATCTAACTGTCTGTAGCTACCTGTCGTCACACGGAGGACGGGGAACATAAAAGCAGTGTCATCAGCGTCTACCTCGGGGAACAGTCACGTGGGAAGGTTCCACAAACTGGGTGACTTGGAAGACCTGAGCAGGTCCCCACCCTGGAGGGCGGAGGCTGGACCGCGGTCCCCGGCTGAGCCCCGTCCTCGGGCTCCAGGGAGGCTCCTCCTGCCTGTCCAGCTCCTGCCCCCCTGGCAGGTCACCTGCGTGTCACCTGTGTGCATTCAACTGGGGCCAGCCCTTGGTGGCATTGAGCTGGTCACTCAACATGGGGTCCTCTGAGGACCACTTCTGTGTGTACCTGACCTTGCACGGACTGGGGCACCACCCTTCCGACCCTGCCACCTCTGCCCGTGCCCAGGTCCCCTCTGGCCAGCGTCCCCCTCCTGCCCAGGGTCTGAGGGGGTGACCCCTGACTGTCTGAGGCTGGACGCCATCTTTCCCAGTGTCCACTAGTCCTCTCCGTCCCCGAATTCCCCAGAGGTCCCCTGCCCGGTGCCTTTCCACCCAAATCCTAATGTCATCACGGAGCCATCGACATGCATCTAGAGATTGCAGCTGTGGGGCCAGCGGTCAGCCCAGAATCAAAGCCACCCGGGGGGGGGGGTGGACATCCTGCCCCTGCCTTGCTGCAGAGCCGGGCGGGCTCGGCCATTTGCAGGAGAGCTCAGAAACGGCAGCCCAGCCGGGCTGTTTAGGGACCAGCCAGTCCTGCCTGCAGGGCGGCCACAGCTGCACCTCCAGAGGGCTCATCAGGTGACCGGGGAGCAGGGGCGGTTTCAGACTTGTGCTGGGCTTCCTGTGACTGTGACTCACAACCTGCAGACGGTTTATGACCCCGAAGGAGGAAGCCAAGGATCATTATTTCTGCACGCAGGGGAGGGGAAGGGCTGGGGTCCCCTGCAGGTGCCCAAGGAGGTGGGGCACCCTGGGGACGGGGGGGCAGCTGCCTGGTGTGCGAGGGTCTGGGGAGGCCAGGGAAGAAGTCCCAGCCTCCAGCTGTGGCCTCCAGCTGCTGCTGTCCCTCCCTCCAAGTCAGACAAGGAACTCAGAACCAGGGCTCTGGGAGGATGGGTCAGGGGAGGTGACGGATGGAACTGTGTCCCCCTGAAGGAGAAGCTGAGGTGGTCTGCTCCTCGGGGACCTGCAGGCGGGGACTTATTTGCAAACCAGGATCTTTGCGG